GCCAGCAGGCAGGTCTCCCAGGCCCCAGAACAGGTGGGTCTGATCCACCTGTAGCTCTAACTAGATTTTTCTTGCCAATTAACTCTGTAATGAGCCAGTATGATCCTGTACTCCCTTGGAACAGGGTGTTGCTGCAGACACCAGGGTAATAAGTTTTCCAGTGACTAATTTGCCTTGTAAGTTTACTCATTTTTGCCAGGGGAGTTGTGGTTTCATAGTGACTCATCCTTCTGATCCTGACGGCCATGTGGTGAGTGAATGAAGCAGCCTTGAGAGGCTAAATCTTGGGCAGACAGACCCCTGAGGTTTTATGGTTCTGAATAAAACCACTCACCAAAACCATCACATGACTTTTGTGCGACATTTGTGAGTCAGTGGTGTGGCTCAACCTGTCCCTGGAGAGGGGACCTCTATGTTGCTCATGAGGACTGAGGGTTGGTGTCCATTCTACCACACACATATGCAAATTGCCATTCCTTCCGCTGCCACTCCACGTCTAAGCAGCCCAACTGGGAACCAGCATGCCTGCGGCCTGGCCTGCTCTCTGTACCACCATTTTGGATGGGAACTCATGGCTCTGAGGTAGCACATTTCATGATTTGACATTTACATCTCCTCCATGTCCTCATTCAACTGGACCAACTGAATGTAGGCTAAGGACCAGCCTATCGCCCTTCTCACATCTTGCCGACATCCAGGTCTTGAAGGGAGGACAAGAATAAAGAAGCTGTACCACCATTATGACCATTTCTGCTGAGTCATGTGGACCCAGCTCTAAGTTTCCACAGACATTAAAGAAAAAAGATCCACCCTCATGACTTTATCAAGTACCTGATAGCAAAGAAATGCTAATTAAAAATTTCTCAGTAAAAATATCCAAGTCCCAAGGACAATTGAGGCTCTATAAATGCTAAGAAGAGTGATTTGGGTTGAATGACAAACCATGACTACACGAGAATGGACCAGTTTCAGGAAGCACTCAGGGTACCAAAAGAGGCCGAGGGAGTCCAGGAAGAAAATAGGCAAAATGGAGCAGAGATGCTTCATGGGCTCACAGGCTTCAAAAACAGAAAACATGAGTGGGGAGATGTGATGTGAAATTTGCCTCCCTGGTTGACATAGTCTGTTTGGCCCAGCATTCTGGAGTTTGAAAGAAGAATATTTCATTCAATAGCTTCAGAATTTAAATATTTGCTCAATGCTGACATATGTCGGAGAATTCTCTCTGGTGTCACCCCACCTCCAGTCAGTACGCTCTGTGAGTCCCTCATGGGATGCTCACTGCTGACAGCAAATTTCAAAGCTTACACCCAGCTTCACACATCACAGCCATTTCTCCACCAAGCTGCCAAGGACACCCATAACTCAAACCTGGATGAGGGAGCAGACGTGTGCTCTCACTGTTGGAAAATAAAACTGCGTTATTTAACGTCCTTTTCACTTAATGCATCAAACTAAAATGACGAGGTATTTCTGTGTCACAAGGGACCGTTTGATAGAAGCTTGCAAGGAGTAAAAGCGTTTAATGTTTACTGAGTGAATGTATAATAAAACAGAATCGCTGAACACTTAAGTAAACATGGCTTATTAACGTGAGGCAGAGTGGTGTCAGTAAGGGGAAATCACACCTCACTAATCTCCTTGAGTTCTCTGAGCAGATAAATAGGCGAACGGATAAAAGGGAACCACAGAACCCAGTTTAATTTGACTTTCAAAAACCTGTGAGAAACCTAACCACTCTAACCACTGCTTTAAAAAAAATCGAGTCGCTAATATGAATACAGAACTGACTTAAAGACCATAAACAAAGCCAAAAATAAGTGCATACATTCCCAGCTGCAAAATGATCAAGTCTAGGGTTTCTTAGACATCTGACCCATGATGGGTCTTTTCACATGTTTGTAAATGACCTTGAGGAAGAAATGGTACTGACTATCCAGGTCCAGGGGAGACTGTTCTGGAAAGAATGTCAAGTTGATGGAGAGTCAATTCCATTTGGATTCCCAGTAGTTATTATGTGTGCGTACTCTGGGGTATAAAAAAGAAGTGGAAGGAAAAAGTAGAAGCTCCTGGCCTGAAAGAACTGGTAATGAAGTTAGGGTGAAAGCCATGTGTTCCTCTACTGTCAACAGTAGAACACACAATGGGATCCATTGCAAAAATGAGTACTACAGGTAAGTGAGAGGTTCACAGTTCAGAGAAGGAAAAAAGTGAATCTGGATAGAGGCAAGGAAGGCTTCCTAGAGGAGGCAGAATCTGATAAGAGCCTTAAAATATAGATAGGATTAAGCTGGATTCAGCAGCTCATGTCTATATTCCCAGCTACTCAGGAAGCAGAGATTGGGAAGATCGTGGTTTAAGGCCAAACCAGGCAAAAAGTTAGCTAGACCCCATCTCAATCAATAAGCCTGGTGTGGTGGGTAGTGCCTGTGGCCCCAGCTAGAGGGAGGCATAGGTAGGAGGATTATGATCCATGCCAGCCCTGGACAAAAATGTGAGACCCTATCCCAAAAAATAACTAGCACAAAGAAGGGTTGGAGGTGTTGCTCAAGTGCCTGCCTAGCAAGCAGGAGGCCCTGAGTTTGAATTCCAGTACCACCCCAAAAAATAGCTAGGGTTTGAACGAATGTAGAAAAAGGTGGAGGGTTTCTGTGCCCAAAGCAGTTCATAGACATTGAGCCAGGAGTGGGGCTCATATGCACAAACTATGACCCTCACACTTCCCAAAACGCAGATTGCATCGCCCTTCTCCAGAGGAGGAGCATGGGGCTTGCAGGATTGAGGTGTTTGCTCACACTGCTAACACACGTTACACCTGTTGTTATGCTGCCTCCCGTGCTAGGGCTGTCTCACGTGTGAAGGGATAAGGGCCAAGCTCTCCAGGGAAGTTAGGGAGAGAACTGAGAGGCCAGGCCAGCTGGAGTGACACCTTGTGCCAGGGACCAGTGAGAAGTAGGCTGGAGCACATGGACTTGACCTTAAGTTACTGGGGGCTTCGAATGATGAGTGCTTAATCCTGTGTGGAGTGAAAGAGGAAGGAGATTGGAACCATTCGGTGGAGTCTGGGGCTCTGAACCAAGGGACTTGAGTCTGGGGGTAGAAGGAATGAAGGAGGGCAGATGAGTGGTTTGGAGGAGACATTGAGGCTGAGGACAGCTTTATTTTGTCTTTCTGTGAACACATGCATTGAGTCTGTTCACATATAGCACCCCCATCAGAGCATCACCCTGCTTGGGATCAGCTGTCAGAGTCTCACATCCCAGGGACATGTTGTTGGATGTCACAGAGCTGTGTCACACACTGACCTTACGTCCACCTCACTGCTCAGGGGGTAGCTGGGCTCAGGACCCATGTCAGGATGAGAGAGCTCCTTCACTGCCTTCAATGTGGCATGGTGACCTGTGCCCTTGACTCACTTTCCTGCTGTCCCTTGGCCCAGTTTGATGGAACAATAATCTACATGGAGCCCTCAGGCTCAGCCTCTAAGATCCAGGGGACAAGGGCCCTCAGGGGTCTTGAACAGGGGAATAACAAACAGCACAGTGCTTGGGATGAGAATGTAGAGGCAGCAGAGAAACAGTTAAACTTCTGCGAATGCTTTGGTCATTCTAAGGCGATGGAGGCAGGAGGCCAGGCAGTCACGTCCTTCAGTGGCCATGTGGCATCTGGAATTGGGTGTGGTGCTGTGGGCTGCAAGGTGAGCACGTTTTGGGTGAGTGGTCAATTATTTGATTAAACTTGACATCCAGAAGTGTCACCTGAGGCAGTGGTTATAGGAGTGCAGTAAAAAGAGCTCTGGACTTGAATTGGAGATGGCGTGCAAGCCTCTGTTCTTCCTCGAATTAGTCTGTGAGCAGAGCTTGTCTGTGAAACAAGGCCAATAATTGTTCCAAGCTCATGAGCTCTCCTGATGACCACAAAAACAAAGTAAAATAAAAATACCCACTCTGGATGGCTCCAGTTCAGAATGCAGAAAGACCCCTATGATTTGCTACTCAGCCCCCAGCACCACACAGACAACGAGCCTTCTGAGTGCACATCTGGATACTCTGAGCCTCCCACTCAGGACCTTGGCCACACCGTGTCATGCTGGTCCCCACTGGCCTGCACCCCTCACCAACTGCGAGCAACTCGAGGGAAAACAGAGTCTTCTCTCTCTTTGTACCCAGCAACTAGACAGTGCCTGGCCTATGGCAGGTGTGCAAATGCTTGCCAAATAATCAACAAAAGAATGGTGCATTACCTCCCGTCCCTGAAAGAAGGGAAAAGGAAGTTTAATTTAACCCAAAGAAAAATGGTTGGCACAATGATTGGATTCTCACAGCAACTGCTTACTGATTCACTTTAGACTTTTCCCAAGAATCAACATAAAGGTTGTTGGCCTTTTCTGTTAGAATTCTCACCGTCCCAGTCACCCCACTTCTAGAAAATGTGGACAGCACTGACTTCTACCATTTTCTGGCTCTTCTCCCATTCTTTGGGATTTTTCATCAAACATGAAAAGTAGGAAATGTACTTCCCAACAATGATGGGGTCCATCCTGCAGTAGGTTGGAGACTCGAACTGACATACAGGGACCTCTCACAGACTCCTATGTGGGGACAATGTCGTTAGTCTTCCCTTTCTGACCTTAATACTTTTATACCTTCTGGGAAAAATGGAAGCACAAAACCTTTGAATTTTTGCTTTCCTGTAGCTATTCATTAATCTGGCTCAGTGTTCCTCAGTCAACAGCCTCTGGATTCTTCAAACTTTGAACACCATATTTAGACAACTCTCCTGTTTTAGCATTTTTAGGGGCCTCAACTTCTCTTGAGCATCGCCTTTCTTGAATGTAAATACCATCTTTATGTAGAATCTTTACTTCTCTTTTGAAAGCCTGAGTTCCCTGGTGAGCTGTTTTGAGTGGAACAGACCTCTATCCAAAAAGAGGCCCATGCATCATACCCCTATTGACCCACCCTGCAGCCTTGGCCAAACGCAGAGAGAAAATGACATACCAGTCTGTTGGTAAAGTTACTGAACTTCTCAACCAACACCTGCTTCATCATGTCTGGCTCAGAAACAACAATATACATCCGACGACCGAGATAGTACCTAGAAGGAATAAAAAGAAAGATTGAAAATGTGTGATGCTTTTACCCATTTCTCTTCCCCCAAAAAGAACTCATCAAGGCTTAGAATGAAGGATGAAAGACAAAAAGGAAGTAAGGGTGTGGAAAGATGAGGAAACTTGTGTTCCAACCATGAGCTGTGATGATCTACAGCAAATTCTTTCCACCAACACTTGTGGAATGCCACCTTGAACTGGGCACTGGAAATTCTAGGATGCATAAGACACAGTCTCTGCCTCTAGGAGCTTAGAGCCTGACAGGAAAGACAGACTTACAAATGCCAACACAATAGTAAGGAGTTCATAAGATTCATCAGTAGGCTGGGTATGGTGGCTTATACCTGTAGTCTCAGCTACTTGGGAGATGGGAGGCTCTCTGTTTGAGGTTAGTCCAGACAAAAAGTTCTCAAGACCCCACTTTAATTAATGGCTAGTCACAGTGGCATGTATCTGTCATTCCAGCTGTGCAGGGAGGCACAGATAGGAGGATCCTTTATGTCCAGGTAATCCTGGACCTTATCTCAAAAATAACCAATGCAAAAAAGGGCTGATGGGGTGGCTCAAGAGATAGTGCACCTGCCTGGCAAGTGTAAGGCCCTAAGTCCAACCCAACCCACAGTACTACCAAAAATAAAATAAGTAAAATAGAAAGTCCAGTGGTAAGACAAAGAAGGAAGATGGCAGAGATCAATATTATACTTTCTGAGACTGAGGAGACAGGCATTTTAGCAAGAGAAGACCAATAACCTTTACATTGATTCTTGAAAAAAGTCTAAAACAAATGAATCAACAGATGCTGTGAGAATTCAGGAAGGATTAGGTCTGCTGGGGAAAGGCTGGACATCTGGTTTCCTCCACCTTCCTTAGGAAAAAGTAGAGGGAGGGATGCCAGCCAGCTGCTGCTGCTGAACTCTGACCGCAGGCAAAGCTTACATAAATGTATGTTTATGAAAGGACTGGCGAAACAGAGCAACCCAGTCCCAGCATTCAAGGGCCTCCTTGTCTGAGGGGAGGGATAAGCAGGCAGTCAGCAAGCAGGGTCATGTTCTGGCTGTCATGAGTCACATTGGAGGACCCAACTCAGTGCTGGAGAGGACAGAATGCAGGTTTCCCAGAGGTGGTGCTTCTCAAACCTGGTTCTGAAGGTAGGTGGGGGTTAGTCCAGGAAGGTACGTGACAGAGGAGGTGAGAACACTCTGGGCAGAAGAGTCAGCGTGGGCAACACCTGCCCCAGGTCACACTGCTTGGGAAGCACTAAGAGTGACAGCCAATGACCAACTGTGCAAAGCAGAGCTGAGTGCTGATGGGAGCCCACTGCCAAATGCATTTTTCTGATGTCTGAAGTTATACTTTGGGGGTTGTAATCTGATCACTGATGTATCTTGAATTAAGCAGTAAGGAACAGATTTTCAAAGTTGCACATAAAAGCAAAAAGCGGCTGAGTTTTTTTTCTTTGCTGGTACTGAGGTTTGCACTCATGTGCTAGGCAGGCACTCTACTACTTGAGCCACTCTGCCAGCCCTTTTTTTGTTGGGTTTTTTCGAGATAGGGTTTCATGAGCTATTTGCCTGGGCTGGCTTTGAACCATGATCCTCCTGATCTCTGCTTCCTGAGTAGCTAATATTACAGGCACGAGTCATCAGTGCCCAGCTTACTCTAGCATTCTTACTCAGGTATTCTCATAAGCTAAAAAAAGATGTTAATTTTTAAATCTCACTCACTAAGGGAAAAAAATGAGAAAAAGGTATTTGTCTGGTACATATGAGGCACTCAGAAAATATCAGGCTGAGTGATCACATTTTCCAAAATTGTTGGGAATATCATGGACCATAAAATTCAATACATGTGGTTTAAGGAAAGAAAGGACATCAACTAGTTTCTTACTGGTTTTAACCAAGAAGACCAAAAATAGCCCAATAAGGCCATGAACCAATGTTCTTGTAAAACATACAGCAAGTATGGGATATTCTGGGAATTTAATGAAAGCTGTGGATACTCTCCTAAGAAAAATGAATTGCACACAGTGTTTCATATACAGTTTGAATATTACTCCAGGGCAATGTTTCTCAAATTTAATATGTGCTTAAAAGTCACCTTAGTTTGAAGATACAAGAGCTGAAAATTTCTCCAATGAGGTAAAAGAGAAATTTACTATTCAAGAAGCCAAGAGAGCCTCAAGTAGGGTAAATCCAGAGAAATCCACACCAAGACACATCAGAATTAAACTTCTGAAATCTAAACTAAAAAAGAAAGAAAAAAGACTTGAAAACAGCCAGAGAGAAATGATGTATTACCAATGGGGACACCAACTCGATGGACAGCAGACTTCTCACCAGAGACCATGGAGACCAGAAGGAAGTGGAACATTTTTCAAGTGTTGAAAGAAAAGAACTGTCAATCAGCAAAAAAGTATGGATAAAGAAAAACTTAGATGATTTGTTACTAGCAGATATACTCTTCAAGAAAGGATAAAGGAAGTTCTCCAGCCAGAAGGGAAGCAATAATAGAGGAAAGGTTGAATTCCAGACAAAAACCCCCTGGAATGGTAAAAATAATAGATTACCCTTCTTCTCACAAGCTTATTAAACTAAACATGATGGCTGGAGCAAAAAATGATAACACCTTCTGAAGGAATCAATGTATTAAGAAGAAAGACTTCTACAATTATATCTAAGAAGTAAGGCGATGAAGACCAAAATGGAAGTAAGTTTCCACGTGTCATTTGTCACTTGGTGTGGTGAGGCATCCAGACTCACAGACCATGACAAATTATGTATGCACACTTATGCAACCACTGAGAAAACTATGCACAGTGATATAGAAAAGTTTTAATAGGTCAAAAATGGATTGCTATGTAATGTTCAAGTAACCAACGAGAAGGGAAGAAAAGGGAACAAAAGAAAATAAATGTTACTATGTTATAATTATAAATATGATGTCATAATTAGGTAACCACATGTCAAAATCTGAGTTGGGGTTGCAGCTAAAGCAGTGCCAAGAGATAAATTTATGCCACTAAATGCTATCCTAGGAAAAAGAAAGATCTTCAATGAATAATCTATATTCCTATCCCAAGAAATCAGAAAAAGGCCAAAAAAAAACCCTTAACTGTGCAGAAAAAAAAATAATGATAGCAACAGAAAGTAATGAAATGGAAAACAGAAAACAGTTTTAAAAATTAAGCCATGTGTGGTGGGCATGCCTGCAATCCCAGCTATTCAGCAGGTGGAGATAGGATGGCAGTCTGGGGCCAGCTCAGGCAAAAGATAGCGAGACCCTATCTCAGAAACAATCTGGGCTTGGTGGTGCCTACCTATGGTCCCAACTATTCAGAGGTGGATTTAGTGGGGGTCACAGTTTAAGGCCAGGCCTAGCAAAGTTAGTGAGACCCTACTGAAAAATTAACCAAAAGGGCTGGCTGGGGTATGATTCAAGTGGTAGAGGACCTGCCTAGCAAGCATGAGGCTCTGGCTTCAATTCCCAATACTGCAAAAATAAATAAGTAAATATATATTAATTAAAAATGAAAAATTAATAAGACAAAAATGCACTTTTTGAAAAAAAAATCATCCTGTAGCAAGACTAACAATGATGAAAAAAAGAGACGACACAAATCCCCAGTATCAGGAACCAAAGTGATTGTAACCATAGACACTACCACCATTAAAAGGACAAGGGAGCCTGGGCACCAGTAATCCCAGCTACTTGGGAGGCAGAGATCAGGAGCATTGTGATTTGAGGCCAGCCCAGGAAAATAGTTTGTGACACCTGATTTTGAAAATATCCAACACAAATTATGGCTGGTGGAGTGGCTCAAGTGGTAGAGTGCCTATCTAGCAAGTGTGAGGTCATGAGTTCAAACCCCAGTACTGCCATACACACACAAAAAGGTTAAGAGACCATGCAAACCACTTTATACTGATGCTTTTGAAAACTAGGTTTCTTGAAAACCAAAACCTACCTGAATTCAACCACGATGAGTGGCACAATCTGAATAATCCTATAACCATAAAACTTGAATACACAAATTAAAATTTCCTGAAAAAGACATCCCTAGGTCCAGCTGGTTTCAGTGTTTCGCTTTAGCAACGAAGTTCACTAAATCCCTAAAAAACGAACAATGACTTCACACAATGTCTTCCAGAAGGCATAAATGTCCAGACGGGACACTTCCTCTCAATTTATGAGGATAGTATTATCTGGTACCAGAACCAAAAGAAGACCGCACAAAAAAGAAAACCGTAGGCCAGGATGCCACACATCCTAGACACAATCTGCAGCAAAGCAAATGCAGCAAGGCATGAAAAGAACTGTACACCATACACAAGTATTTGCTGACAAAACTGCCTTAAAAATCTCTTGCCAGTACAATAAAGCTAGAAATATAAATAAGCATATAGATGGAAAGGAATAAAGAAAATTGTGTCTATTTTCAGAGGATATGATTGTCCACGGAGAAAATACTAAGGAATTTTTTTTAAATGCAGGATTCAAGATTAACATACAAAAACTGTTTCCTCCCTCCCTCACTCCTCTCTCCCTCACTCTCTTCCTCCCCTCCTTCCTTCTTCCTTCTCTCTTTCCCTCGTTATCTTCCTACCTTCCTCCCTTCCTTCCTCTCTCCCTCCCTCCCTTCCTTCCTCTCTCCATCTTTCTTTGTCTCTATCTCTGTCTCCACCACCCCCGCCTCAAGTCTTCACACATGCTGGCGAATGCTCTACCATTGAGCTATACTCCAGGCCTTTTGTTTGCATTTTACTTTTGAGATAGGGTCTCTCTAACTTTGAGAGAAAGTTGGCATCGAACTTGAGATCCTCCTGTCTCCACTTCCCAAGTAGCTAGGATTACAGGCTTGTACCACCACACCTGGCAGCATTTCTATACACAATGAGTATGTGGAAACCAAAATGAAAACACAATGCCATCTATTACATTGATTAAAGAAACCTAAGAAGCCCTAAGTAAATGAAGAGATGTATTCATG